TGTGTGTGTGTGTGTGTGTGTGGGAGGGGGTTGTAGATGCTCCTACCCGTGATGACACCTGGAGCCGGGGTGGTCATGACAGTCTGAGGAAGTCCTCCCAGCTGTTGAGAGAGGAGCGCTGGTCCAGCCAGAGCTCCAAGAATCGAAGTTCCCACTGTCTCCTGAAGCACCACAGAACAAAGTATATTCACTACTGTGGACAAATATATATGAAACAAATATGACAATAGGGCCGCTCGATTATGGCAAAAATCATAATCACGATTATTTAACATAAGCACTCATTGACTTTGGAATATCAAGCACTTCTTAAACTTCAAGGGGAAATAAATCATTTTGACGCCACGGTTCAGCTGCGACTCAACAAGTGACTCTGCTCCTCTGTTCTTTTCTAATCACGTAGAACTGCTCTTTATAAAAACCTGATAAATTCATATTAATGTTCCTGGATAAATGGGTCGCTTCTTCTGCAACAACAAAGATAAAACACAGCATCAAAATCTGCAGGAAGAACTTCAGTCTGCAGGAGTGTGTGTGTTTGTGTCTGCGCGTCTCACTTTCACACAAACTGACCATCACATTTATTTATTTATTAATCGATGATGTTGGATCATGAATCCAGATCGTTCTGGTCACTTTAACCCTGATGTCCTGTCTCTTTATGTCGAGTCTCGTCTTGTGTGTGGCAGGTGTCTCATAAACTCTCAGGCAAATCAAACAAACTAGTAAACTTCAGTCCTGTACGTGTCCTGATAACTTCTAAGTAGTGTTGGTGTTTAGTGTTAACGTGTTAAGTGAGCGCAGGTCAGTGGGGGAGTGACAAAATGCAGCAGGGTAATACAGCACGGTACAAGGGTACCAGGTCTATAATGAATGTCTGCCGACTGGCTGCTGTCGTGTCCTGGCATTTACAGTTGTTACCAGAAAACTCACCTTGTAGTGTGAACAGAGATGCAGGATAATAATCGTTTCATCTCGTTTACTGTGTTTTCATAATTGTTGGACGCCATAATCATAATTGAAATTCAATTAATCGCCCAGCCCTAATATACAACTCGATGTCTGCATGAAACATAAATAAAACATTAAAGAAATGACAACAAATACTGTAGAAAATCAGAAAACATCTTGTCTCAACAGGAAGGTGAATTATTAGTTCATGTATTTGTAACTTCTAAACTGGACGACTCTTTACAATCAGGACATCACAGTGAACCACTCTGCATCAGCTCCCTGATATTGAGGTTTGAATAAATCATCCATCCATTTTCCTCCACTTATCTGAGGTCTGGTGACAGCAGGTTTACCCGAGTTTTACAGATGTTCTCCTCCTCAGCAACACTTTCCACCTCCTTTCTTGATCAGATGGGATGTATGATCCCTCCATGGAGTTCTGGGTTAGGTTTTAACAGTATTGGTGACATGGGGTATCCCTGGCAAAGTCCAACACCCACTGGGAATGTGTTAGACTTTGCTTTCCCTTCCTGAGTTGTCAAACAGCTTGCAGGTTCTTCCTTGAGGCCAAAACTGGAACTGAAAGTCCTTCTTTATGATCTCCCCAAAGGGCCCAAACAAACCAGTAAGGCCAAGTAATTTAGCCTGACCCCCCCACAGTTGTTGTGATCTTTAAAAATAATAATTTGCTTCGGTTGGTTCTCCTCTGATTGAGAGGCAGAGCTTCATGACTGACCTGAGCATTGATTTTCGCGGTGGCAGCAGCAGCAGCCACTGCAGCCGCAGCAGGGAGTCCTCCAGGGGTTGTCGGTGTGAGGAGGGGCATGGGCGGAGTCACAGCCTTCCCCACTCGCAGGTACTGACCCCCCAAGTCAAAAAGGTTCATGGAGGCCACAGCGTCCTGAGATGACTGAGCCTTGTCGTACTCTGAAACCAAAACAACAACAACCATAAAGAACAAGACTGAAGACTCAGCAGTGCCCTCACAGGCCACAACATGAGCCTTCATCATAAACTGCTGACTGTTGATTTCTGTAACTGACAGTCGTCTACTCCAATGAACTTAAACTCCAAACTGAAGTTTAAAAGGCTCCTGGCTGTTTCTCTGGCATCACACCAACAACAAACAAATATTTCAATTATGAATTAAACTCTTTTCTTGACAAACAAATAAATAATTTAGTTGATGAAAATCAATGAAACTCATCTTCCACATCAGACATGGTCAAACAACAATTGGTATGAGAACACAAAGACACATTCATATCTGAGAAGCTGCAACAAGGTGGTAAAAAATGACAAGTGATTCATTGATTAGCAATTAACCGACAATTCCTTTTCCATTGATGAACTGAAATAATTTGTTTCTGCTCACAAGAACAGAAATATGGTAAATATTGAATTTTTCACGTTTTGACCGAGCAAATAATCGCATGAGAAAATCTCAGTTTTCATTGAAGTTCATTGACTTGCTTCAAACGTAATAAACTGATTTGTCTGAAAGTGCTTGCCTGATACGTCGCGTGGTTAACGGATGGTGAATTATTATGTGATCATCATGTGCTCACCAATGAAGCCGTAGCCTTTGTGCCGCCCTGTAGTTGGCTCTCGGGCCAACATGCAAGACTTGATCTTCCCAAAGGCTTCGAACACACTCTTGATGTCATCGTCAGAGAGGTCGGGGTGAACGGACGCAATGTAAATTCTGTTAAAGGCTCGAGCCTCCTCTGCCAGCTGGTCAATGATTGGCTGAGCCTGACCGATGTTACTGGGCCTCCCAACCTGCAAGACGAGGCAGAGGGAAGAACACCTGAGGACTGCCTATACTGCACATGCATACCCCTAAAAACAATATCTGCATGGCACAATTTAACCTCATCTCATAACACCCTGGAGGAGATAGCATTACATTCAAGTTCCTCCCACAAGTGAAAAAAACAATATACTGAATTGCATGGCATCAACCTCCTAAAAATAGTTTGGACCTCTCTCAGACCGTTTCCTCAAAACACTGAAAACACCTATGATAAAACCTCCTTTAAAAAAGAATCATTTAGAAAATTACAGGCCCATATCCAAACCCGCATGTTGCAGCAAAATCATAGAAAAAGCTTTTCTACATCAATGAAATAATTGTTTTGATTTCTGGATTTCGACCAGAGCAAAGCACAGAGACTGCTCAAATGATATATGCTTAAATGATATCTAACTAAATACAGACCTGCTTTAGTCCTACTGGATCTCAGTGCCACATTCAACAGTGTCAACCATAAAATATGACTGAACAGACTGGGGAGGATTCTTTAGTACAGCCCTCAAGTGGTTTAAATCTGATTTACAAGTTGGTCCTTACAGACCTGAACTAACAGTAAAGATATGAGGAGTTCTCCGAGGGTCCATTCTTGGTACAGCTCTCTTCAACATCTACATGATCCCACTATGAGACAAGTTGTTATTTGTGAATATGGGCTATACAAATAAAATTTGATTGATTGAATTTGATTGACTAGCTTTCAAGACAATGAAATATTTTACCATAACTATGCAGATGACACATATTTATAAAATAACACCTGATGATTTTGGACCAATTCAGTCTCTGAATAAATGCATTGAACACATTAATGAGTTTTCTCCAGTTAAATAAGGAAAGGAACGTTTAAATGTTAATTGTCATCCTGTCACACATCAACGGGATTGCAATCTGCCTAAGAATAAAACCAGGCTCAGAGAAACTTTGACTTTGTTGTGAGCAGACTGGATCAGGGCTGCAACTATCGATTGTCAAAATAATCGATAGTCGATTGACTACTAGTTGGATAAAAAGAGAAAAAAAATTCCAGCTGTTTATTTGAAAAGTAACTTAATCTTCTTGTACAACTCTGTTTACAGAGGTTTACAGACATCTGCAACTTAATTATGATGGTTCCAGTTTCAGATCCCTACAATCTAATTCTGACGAGTCATAGCCCGAGTTCAAGACGTCTTTCATTCTAAGATACCTTATATTAAGTTTGAACCTGTCAGAATGGTGTTGTAGATATCATGAAGTTGAATTATGACTAGTTAGAATTATAGATATCTGACACTGAAAGTAAATAATAATAATGTATTTAACTGAGTTGTAGATATCTATAACAAGAAACCACACATAGTAGTTTGAATCTTACTGATATTACACATGTTGAAAATTGAGTTGTTAAAACAGAATCAAAGATATTGCTTTATTATATATCTTACACTGTATAATCTGTCACACTGACAGTTAAAACGTTGTTGATATTCTAAAGTTAATTCAGGATAGTTGTCTGTGAGTCTCATGAGCTGAATTCATTCTGTATTTACACTTAACTCTTCCAGTCAGTTGCCTTTGTGCTTTCAAATCAATAATCTAGTGCTTTATTGTTGAGTGTCTGAACATTTTACATTTAAACCTGAAAGACGCCATGAGAGCAGCATCACTGTGGTATGAACCTAAAGCTGATAACGATCCTTTAGTAAACAGAGAGAAGAAGAATGGCTCCAACACGTTTTCTCTTCAGGTTCATACCAGTGATGTTGTGCTTGAATTAATTAGTTGTTGCAGCACGACACTTGATTATTGTAACAGCGTCTTTACAGATCTTTGCAAAAAGCTTATCCAAAACGCTGAGACCAGAGTCCTCACCAAAACCAAGAAAATGAAACACATCACACCAGTTCACAGAACTTTACACAAGCTTCCAATGACACAAAGAAGTGTTTCAAATTACTGTTTTTGACCTAAAAGGCACTGAAAGGTTTGGGGCCTGAATACATGTCTGATGTGCAGCAACGAGCCAATCAGAGAATCGTCTGGTTTACTGTTCTGGGCATCAGGACCAAACATGCAGAAGCAGCCTTCGGTTGTTATACTCAGATCAGGACTAAACTTCCAGAGACCCTGAGGTCTCCCAGACTCTTTGCTCCTTTAAATGTTTCTGTTTGCTTTTCCTGATGCAACTTGAAAATGTTACACTTTTCTAAATTTCCTCGCCTTAAAGTTTTAAAACTACCATTTGTTAGTTTCCTCTCTTTTATAAATTTTTTCTGTTTCATGTGTCTTGTATGTTTGTTTAAAGCCCTTTGAATTGTCGCTGTGTCTGAAATGTGCTATATATGTTAACTTGCCTTGTACTGACAGTGTCAGTACTGACCAGTAAAGTACTGTACAGTACCGACCAGTACTGCGGATCCTGTATCGTGCTGGCATCTGATCAAGGTGGCAGCTGACGGTGGATCCTGATGGCGGCAGTGGATCATGATGATGGATTATAATGGTGGATTCTGATCGTGGACTATGATCACAACAAGACTGATAAACAATATGTCTCCTCAGATACTTCCTGACTAGGGGTGGGCATTCGATTACATTTTCTTAATCGATCGTTGCAAGAATTGACGATCAATTTTCGTTTAATCATTACATATTTTTTTATTAATTAAAATACATTATTTAACTTTTTATATATTAAAAATGCAATGAAAATACAAAATACAGCATGTCTTTCCTCGATGAGATATTTATTACGAGAACCACTCTTGTGGCAGTTAAACTGACGTTCAATGGTTAAACTTGAAGGTGTGTGCTGCGGCGCTCTAAAGCAGAGGAGCCTGCAGCTGCGAGCCGGCGCTCTTAAACACAATTGACCCTCGTTTGTTCCAAAATAATAATAATTTAAAAAATCATGTTAAACAATAACTTAACCAAAAACATAATAATACTTAGTTCTGACAGGTTTTGTCAAAATGTAACTCAAAAACTATCCAAAAGGCACCGAGTCTAAAAAGAGGGTGAGAGAGAGATAGCCTACCTAACAATTAATTAGACTACTTAACAAAGCCTCATAAAAATCACTATTGGCCTAACTCACATACAACTTCAGCACCAGTCTACTGATTTCTGTTGATAAAGACAAACATGTTAACGTGCTCTGGGGTCAGACGCGACCGCAGCCTGGTGACCGTCAGTCCAGCTGCCGAAAACACCCGCTCTGAGAGGACTGACGTTGCCGGGATGCACAGGTACCTCCGCGCATTATTCGCAGTATTCAAGCATTTTATCATTAAAAAAATAACGTGATCGACAAAATTCTTAACGATCAATTATCAATTCATCGATTAATCATGCCCATCCCTATTCCTGACAGTAACTCCTCTCTTCATTCACCTTCCATCAAGCTTCTAACTGTTTCCTCTAACCAGTGCTGGAGCTACTCTTCTGTGTCTGACCTTCTCAGTTACACGTGGCGTCTACTGCACTTGTGTCCGTCCTGGGAGACGGGTCCTCACGTGTCTCTGAGGTCTCTACGTTCTTTTCCCTGTTGAAAGGTTTTTTAGTAGTTTTACTCTTGTTGAGTTAAGAACCGATGAGGTCACAGCTCGTTAACCCTATGAGACAAACTGTGATTTGTGAATATGAGCTGTACAAATAACATTTGATTGATGATTGGTTGATTAATAGATACTGACGCACCCATCAGTTGTAGACTCACCTTGATGTTTCTTCCTCCTAATACGACAGAGTTCATCTGTTCCAGAGCGAGTTGAGCCGCCTCTGGCATCTCGTACTCCACAAAGGCGAAACCCTGCGGAGAAGAAGACAGAGACTCAACAAGCTGTCACTGCTGACTCTGATACACTCACTTTAAACACTCAACAACCCATAATGCAACTCTGTGTAACAGACTATGGTTCACTGGTTCTAGCTGAGAGACGTCATGTCAAACAAAGGGATCCATCTGGTTTCTTCCCGGGTTCTAAATGTTTCCTCCCTGAGCAGAACAAAGTGGTAAATGGTAAATGGTTGTATTTATAAAGCGCTTTTCTAGTCTTGATGACCACTCAAAGTGCTTTACACTACAGTTTGCCATTCACACACAAATACAGTGCCACAGCCACCCCAAGGGAACTAAAGTGTGAGATTATTGCACGAGCTGTGTTCCCTGACGCGTGACCTTGTGTTTCATGGTGACCGAGTCCCATGACATGTCGATACTTTTGATTGGTCCAAATGGAGCAAAGGCCTGTCTGATGGTGTCCTCCCCCAGCTCGTAGTAAATGGAGCCCACGTAAACTCGACACATGATGGCCAGAGCTCTCTGACGCTGAGCCGCCACCTGAACACAGACAACCGCCAACATCAGCTGATTTAAAGACACAAAGAGGACAAGGTTCAACAGAGAGGAAGCGTTGACTTACTGACTGAAGAGGAGAGAGAGCGTCTCCGAGACCCATTGTCAGAGACGCCATCTGAGAGGAGAGGTGGGGAAATATTTATTCAGGTTCTGTTTTCCTCTTCCACACGTAAAAAAAATCATGTCAACTGTCGATTCTAAACCTTTCACTAAAAAGTTTCATTTATGACAGCGAACGTCGAAATTTAATTAATTTCTGCTGCTTCAGACTTTTTTAACTTTCAAACTTTTATAGAACTTTCTGCACATGGAGACAAACATAGATAATAAAGTGTTTCCTGTTTCTACCTGGAGGCTGGTGATCTGCTGCTGCTGCTGATGAGCCAGAGTCTGTTTGACAAGAACACTTTTAATACTCTGCTCCATCGCGTACTTCTTAGCCTGCACACAGGAAACAGCCAATCACAGCAGAGATTATACACAGATACAGATCAGAGACTGTATATAAAGACCATCACTGACTGTATATAAAGATGATCACCGACTGTATAGGTGGATTCAGTTACCTTCTGCAGCGCCTCCTGCTGGTTGAGGGTGAGCGGTGGCAGGCCCAGCTTTGTGCTCTGTCCATTCTCCATGATGAGAATTGCCCCCCACCCCCCACCCACCCCTGTTAACACCAGTAACACTGGGTACTTCACTAGAGTAACTGAGTACTTTTCTACAGTAATTTAGTACTTTTATAAAGTAACTGACTACATTCCTATAGCAAC